AGGGAGAACGAGTTTGTATAGCTATGAATGTCTTTCAGAACTTCCCAGCCCCTCTTCTCTCCCTCTCTGCAGAGATCTCAGACTGGGCTGAGCGCTGTGGCCAGCAGCTCCAAGTAGCTGAACTGTGGTAGTGGAGCTTACCTTGTTTGACTTGGCTTTATTGAGACAGGGTCTCACACTATCCTGGGCTGATCTGGAACGTACTGTGAAACTCAGGCTGGCCTCAAACTTCTGGCAGTTACGCCCCTGCCTCGGCCTCTCCCCAGGGCCAGAGTTACAGTGTGAACTGTCATGTCTGTAAAAGTACATGTCTGTCTTTTGAGTGGGTGTGTGGGTGAGTGGGCACACACCACTGTGTACGAGTGGAGATCAGAGGAGTCGATTCTTCTCCTTCCGCCATGTGGGTGTCAGGAATGGAGCTTCAGTCGTCAGGTTGGAGGCAGCACCTTTGCCCGCCGAGCCACTCAGCAGCGTGCAACTTCGTTGTTTGACTGTTTGTTTTTACAGTCTTTTTCTAGTTATTGGAAGTGATATTGACTTTCTGTTTATACTAGCAACAGAATTCCTATTTGAAATAGTTCACATAAGTTTTGAAAGTGTCAATTAAAGCCGGGCGGTGGTGGTGCACCCCTTTAATCCCACCACTCGGTAGGCAGAGCCTGGCGGATCCCTGTGAGTTCGAGGACAGCCTGGTTTACAAAGCAAGTTCCAGGACAGGCTCTAAAACTACAGAGAAACCCTGTCTCAAACAACAAAACCAAAAAAGGAAAGTGTCAATGTATAGAAAATAATGTGCAGGAGACTGGGATTTGGCAGAAACCATCAATGTGGTTCACTGATGTGTGGACAATGCAAAATCATGGCTGTGGGATGGTAGAGATCTTTGCCTCTTCCACCCATTTACCTAAAAAATGAAGTTTCTCCCTGCTATATTGGCCTACTCTCCTCTGCTTATTCTATGTTCAGGCTCTCCCCTTTCTTCCCCACCTCCCCTTCCTCCCTTTCTTTCTTTTTGGTGGTGCTGGGGTCAAACACAGGGCCTCATGTGCTTCCTCACTCAGCCACCAGGCTGGGGCTGTTCTTTGTTTTGTTCTGCTTTGCTTTGACTCTTGCAAACTGGAGAATTTGTGTGTGGTCCCACAGCAGGTTTGAGATGTCTGGATGGGGGCAGGAGATGCTCTCACTCCAGGCTAGGCCTTGAGGTGTGGAAGGATGGGAGCTCAGACCTGTGGTCCTCCTGTCTCCATACACAACAGACTTCGAGCTCCCTAGGAGCCTGGAGCCCCACGCGGCAGTGAGGCTTTGGGAGTTGTGGGTAAGAGAAGCAGTCCTTGGAGCTTTGTGTCCTAGAGCTTGGAGCCCTAGAACAACAGAGCTAAGAGGCTTTGGACTCTCCAGGGTTCCCATTTCCCGACTCCCTCCTCTATCCACCTCTTTGTGCCTCTGTTTGTCCCTGAGGCCTGGACAGCAGCTACCAGAAAGCCTCAGAGACTAGATTTCTCCACAGGGCTCAAGTCCAGAGCAGACAGTAGAAAGGAAGGAGGAAAAGAGAGAGAGAAAGGTCTGTCTATCTCCTGCAGAGAGGTCTTTCTGTCTCCTGCATAGTCAGATTCATAGCAGGTACACATTGCCCTGGGCACCAGGAAAGTGGGAGCCTGGGCAGACTGTGGGTGTATGCTGTGTGTCCATGGTGAGAGAGGATCACTGTCAAGGTGTACCTTTGTGTGTGTGTGTGTGTGTGTGTGTGTGTGTGTGTGTGTGTATGTATGGGCACACACACTCGTGTGTGCGTGCACCTGCAAGTGCAATATAGTGTGTCTACAGCTCACTGACCCTCATGTGATGTATCTCGGGTTGTCTGAAGGAGTTTTCAGGAAGCATTTGAGTTTGCGGTGTGTGTGTGTGTGTGTTGGGCAGATGTATGTGGGTCTGTGGTCATTGGATCTCTGTAATGTGTGCGTGCATGTTTGTGTGCATGCTCGCACTGTATGCCTGAGTGCCCTGTTCAGGTAGCTTGTGTGCTGGGTGTGGTTGTGCTTGATGTGGTTGTGGCCTTCTTTGTACGGTGTGTCTCCAGTTCTGGGTGAAGATTTATCACTGGACTGGAAGAGACCTGGGCATGCAGGAATAGATGCCACTCCTGTCTGTCCAGGTCAGCTGAAGCTGTGCTGGATATGAGAGAAGGTCCCCCGGGTGGGCAGTGGGCACAGCGGTGGCGCCTTCCGGCTTGGTGCAGGGCTAGTAATCGGAGCCCCTTCCCTTCATGAAATATTGATCAGCCTGGAAGGCAGCCCTGACCAGGGGAGGGGCTGGCAGGCGTGAGTGCCGGCCGCTGTCCTTGGTGCTGCTGATGCTGCCTGGCTGAGTATCCGTGCTCAAGGGAGAGCTAGCCAGAGCAAGGCTCTGAGCCTAACACCATTAGCAGGCCCCCACTCTCAGGATGAGTTTACCTGTCCCTGCCACAGCACCCTGCAAGTTTCCTTACCCCATCTATGAAGGGGGAGTATGGGAAGCAGGCGGGTGTCTTACTGAGATTCAGTATCTCAGGGCTGGGTTTGCATATTTGCCTGTGGTCCTCATAGGATTGTCTGGAGTGCCCCTGCTCACTCTCACAGTGGATAATAAATGATGTTCTTATCTACTGTAAGACCGATCCAACAACCTATTTCCCTGTATCTCTGCTCTGCCTGGGAGTTCTGTAGCTATGTGGTGTGCTTTACATGTGTTTGGGGGTACAGTAATTGTTCTTCCTGTGTTGGGCTGGACTGGACTGTTTGGAAGCCCCATGGCATTTGGAATCACACTGAAGCCCAGGCCTTCTACCAGGATATCCAGACCCTTCTCTGCCAATCTAAATTCTACCTTTCCTACCTGATATGGTGGTATCCATCCCAGAGGGTCAGATAGGAGGGTTGAGGCCAGCCTGGTCTGTATAGCAAGATCCTATCCATCCAGTCACTCCATCAAGTAGTGTTTCTTTTTGTTCATTGACTTCTTCTGCTTCTGAGGAAGACGTCTCTGTGGTCCACAGTGAGGTGGTATGGGAATGTCCACCTATATTCTTATGGCACCTTCCCTGAATTCTACATTTTTTTTTAATTTTGAGACAAGAATTCACAGCCACATGTGGTTGCGCATGCCTTTACCCCAGCCCTTGGGAGACAGAGGCAGGCAGATCTCTTGAGTTCTAGGCCTCTCCTGATTTACAAGGCAAGTTCCAGGACAGTCGGAGCTACACAGAGAAACCCTGTCTCAAAACAAAACAAAGAACAAGCAAATAACAAAAAAGAGACAAGGGCTCTGCAGTCCAGACTAATCTTGACCTCATGGAGTTCCTCAAGCCTCAGGCTCCCAAACGTTGGAATTACAATCCTAACCACTATGTCTAGCTTCTTCTACTTGGAATTGCCCAATCTCCCATCTGTAGAACCCTTTCTCCTGCCTGTCACTATTGCCTTGTGTCCACCTATACTATACTCTCCTCTGAGCATCCCACTTCCTTTCCATGTCTCTTCCTCTCTGGGAAGAACACACCCATTCCTGCCCACTCCTATACGTCTCCTGAGCTCAGCGGATCTGCTTCCTGTCCAGTGTCTCCACCCATAAACTGCAGGGTTGACTTAGACTCCTTGTGACTATTGGGTGCTCATTTTCTGCTTTGGCAAGGTTTATCTTTAGGGACCCCTCGGGATCTGTTGATGGCACCTCACATTCCTATTCTCTCCATTAATTGCTTGGATTCTGCTTACTCCCTTCTCTCAAATTTGTCTCCTCACCCTTTCTAGAGACTCCTGAATCCCATCCCTTTCTTCTTTCTCCATGAAGGGCAACCATGCAGCCCTTCCAGCCTGTCCAGAGCAGCCGTCCCCTCCATGCAGGGCAATCTGCAGCCCTTCCAGCCTGTCTAGAGCAGCCGTCACCTCCATGCAGGGCAACCATGCAGCCCTTCCAGCTTGTCCAGAGCAGCCGTCCCCTCCATGCAGGGCAACCGTGCAGCCCTTCCAGCCTGTCCAGAGCAGCCGTCCTCCCATCAGCTTGTTTCTGATCTGCGCACAGTTCCAGATTGATTGCTGGAAAGTACTGTGCCTAAATCTTGTTAGACTTCACTCCTGCAGGATTAAAGACAGACTTCCTAGCTCCACAGTCAGGGACTCTTATTGACAGCTTATAACTTCTCTTCCTGGTTCCCTCTTCCCCAGCTGCACTCACCTTCTGCTCCTCTGTCAGACTCTGTTCTGTAGACCTGGCTAGTGGTTTCCACTGCTTTCTGTCCCCACACTCCCACCTGCCCTCTGCTCGGCTCTGCTTCGTACTTCTTCTGGTGCCCCACCTCCTATGGCGTTCTTTCTTTTTACAGAACACCCAGAGTGTTTCCCTTGGCATCTCGGGTCCATGAGTGGACCACAGGCCAGCAGCAAGGGCATCATCTGGAAGCTGGTGGGAAGAACAAAACACAGAATCCCAGGCTCCACCTGTGAGCCCTAGGGTCAGGATTTGTGCTCACGTCTGAGTTTGAAGAGCACCGGTTGATGTGTTCACGGTACCCTGCTTGTATTGGTGCACGGCCTTTCGCCAGGACATGGGGGATAATCTCAGATGCCAAGTTTAGCACTATCAGGTGATGGCTGCCGTGTTGGCCAGGTTCCACAGTCTGTGATGGAGGAGTGGACAGTGGAGATGGCCAGGAAGATTATATACCCTTCCCACCTCTCAGGTCCCAGAGCTCAGACTGTAACTCCAACTGCAGAAAGTACTCTGGAAACCCAAGGAGGAATCAATTAATCAATGGAAATCAGTCATCAAGCATGTAGTAGAGTTTGTCCCTGCTCACAGAGCACACACGGGTGCTAATGTCTGTTATTTTAGCATACGTTTTGGAAAGGAAAATATTTATTGTTTTTTTCTTTATTATAGCATTAATACAGTTTCTAAAGTAGTAGCTTTAGAAAACACAATATGTTACATGAAGAAAATAAAACTGACTCATGGTTCCTCTCTCTATCAGTGTTCATTTAGTACTTTTGGTTGCCATTCATCCTTTCAATAAATATTTACAGAGCCCTGCTATGTTGCCAAGCCCATGCCAGGTACCGAGGATTTAGGGTGAATAACAGTTCCCATTTTTAAGCAGCTCACAGCCTGGGGCTGGGTGTGGGAGACAGGCATCACACTCGTTACAGATGGCAGTATGTTCATGGCCCAGGGATGCTGGGGCAAAGTACCACAATGAGGTGTCTCGAAGCCGTCTGGATCTGTTCTCCCACAGCTCCAGAGGTGTGGAAGAGGTAGGAAGTTTGAAGTCAAGGTGTCTGGAAGGATTGCTTCCTGTGCAGACTGGGAGAGACCGCTTGTCCCATGCCACTCCCCTGCTTCTGATGGCTACTGGAAGTCCTTGGTGATCCTTGGCGATCCTTGGCAGTCCTCGGCTTGTGGGTGCTCCAGGATGGACTCGCAAACCATTTTCTCTTTTGCTCTTCCTGTCGGGAAGCCAATTGGAGTAGGGACAACCCCCACCTCCCACCACTTTCAGGAAGACTTTAATCACATTTGCAAAGGGCACATTTTCAATCAAGGCCACATTTGAGGTACAAGGTATCAGGACTTTAACCCGTAACACTCAAGGGCAATACAGAGTTCTGGAGGAGCAAGAGAGGGGGCTTTCTTTGCCTGGGAAGATTGCTAGGAAATGATCTTCAAAGGGGGACTGAGAGGAATTGGAAGCAGGTGGACAAGGGAGGAGGGATAGACAAGCTTGACGGTAGGGGCAAGCCATAGAAGAGTGTTCCAGGTAGACAGGAAACACAGTTGGAAAGGGGTGGCAGGTGTCATGCGGAGGGGTGGGTTTCGTCCTGGGTGAAGACAGTCTTTTCTGGTCACTAACCATCCTGGAGGCTGTGTTGCTCTAAGTTCCTGGTTCTGGGGAAATACACAGCCATGTCCCCAGGAGTCCCTGACTGGGAGAAGGCACATGTTAGCCTGGGGTACAGCAGGAGATGGGCCTTGTATTCCACAAGCTTTCTCTGCACAGGAGACAGGGCTCCTTGCATCTGCTGGACCTGTGAGTATGCTGAGCCCTGGGACAGAGGCAGGGATATGACCGCAACACCTGCATTACTGTGAGGGCTGTGATTAGGGCTGTGACTGAGACTGTGTCCAGTTCCCGGGTGGCACTCTGATGCCAGAGACCCAGATGGTGGGAGAAGATAGATCTCTCAGGAATATATTTTCAATGCTCTACTCTCCTCAGGGACTATTTGGAGCCTCGTGCCTTCCCTCATAGAACCCAGGCTAACTGGGTCTCAGCTCATTCCCTTACCACACCCTCAGAGGGTTGTTCCTTTTCTACATGTGATGGCAGAGGGCCTACCCTACCCGATGCTGCCTGCAACCACCTCTCCTGGGCTGGGTGGGCCAGCCTGGGTGGAGGAGAAGTGGGTCAGCTGGTAGCCATGGTGACAGCAGCTGCTCCCTGCCAGCTTTCCCATCTCTTCACCACAAACCTTACCGGATGAGCTTCTTTGTCCGGTCCAGCAGAGATGGGAGCCAGGAGGATGGGACTGGGGGCTGGAGTGTGTGAGTGTGTATGTGTTCCAGCTCACACAAGGGCCTGCCTCACGCTGTTGTGTGAGCCCCATCCTAGGGAACCAGGCTCAGGGTAGGAGTCCTGTGAACACATGTGCTTGTGTCTTTAAAATGTGGGTAGCAGCTTTGTGGGTCTGTGTAATGTGATCACATTTGAAATTATGTGCTCTCTCTTTCTCTCCATCTCTCAGTGTGTGTGTGTGTCTGTGTGTATTGGGAAGTATTGTCTGGAAAGATAAGAGGTGTGAGAAAAGTCGGTGAGACAGCATGCTCCCCACACTGACAGCCTGTGCTTTCTTGGCCTAGTCTGCCTCCCCCACTACATATCAACCCCTGCCACCTTCCCACTTCTCCCTAAGTCATGGAAAGAGAGGCTAGACCTAAGGGCCTTTCCCAGTGTTTGAGGTAGGGTGCTCAGGTGCCAGAGCCAGCATCCAGCAAGGCTCTAGGGCTGCTGATGCGGCATTCCCAGCTACCTCCCATCCCAACTGAGTGATGCATTCTTACCCCACAAACCTAGAGTGGTGGTGGATGATCTTATTAACCCCGGGACCTCCCCCTGAACGGGAGGAATGTGGTGAGTAGGAGCTAACACCTGGACAAGTGTTTACCACGTCCCAGGCATCATCACTCACAGTAAGTAGGTAATTGCTGTGCTGGGCAGTGAGCACACACTGATCTTGTTTTGTAATCTTTTATCTAGCACTCCTAAAGCACATGTAGTCATCCCAATTTAGGGAAGAGGAGCCGTGTGCTAGAGGTTGGGGGTGGAAGCCCTCTAACTCTGCTCAAGAGTGGCAGGCAGGCCTGGGTGTCACACTGCCCAGCATGCCCCTCTGCACATCTGACCCATCTGATCATAGTTATCTGGGAAAGCTGGATAGGTCCAGGTGGCCTTCAGGTGTGTGTGTGTGTGTGTGTGTGTGTGTGTGTGTGCGCACACACGCGTGGGCACGCGCGCGCGCAAGCTTTTTGTTTTTCGAGACAGAGTTTCTTTGCATAGCCCTGGCTGTCCTAGAACTCACTCTGTAGACCAGGCTGGCCTTGAGCTCACAGAGATCCGCCTGACCCTTGCCTCCCGAGTGCTGGGATTAAAGGTGTGTGCCACCACCACCTAGTGCCATCAGACTCATCTTAGAGAAGAACTGGAAGTTAAGAGACTCTGGGGGACTTTCTCAGAGTTAATGCCTCCCACCCTGACTGCCAGGTAGTAGTTCTCAATCCGTGGGTCATGACCCCTTTCACAGGGGTCGCTGAAGACCATAGGAAAACACAGATATTTACATTACAATTCATAACAGTGGCAAATTTATAGTTATGAAGTAGCAACGAGAATAATCTTATGATTGGGGGTCACTGCAACATGAGGAACCATATTAAAAGGCTGCAACATGAGGAAGGTTGAGAACCGCTGGTTGGAGGGGGGTACACAGAGAGCAGACAGAGGAAGAGAGGATGGAGCCCAGGGCTCTTGAGCATTCGGGCCTAGGTGAGCCCATGTATTAGAGAATGTTGTTTGCTTTTCTTTTCTTTCTTTTTTTTTTTTTAAAAAAATATTTATTTATTTATTTATTCTGTATACAATATTCTGTCAGTGTGTATGCCTGCAGTCCAGAAGAAGGCACCAGACCTCATTACAGATGGTTGTGAGCCACCATGTGGTTGCTGGGAATTGAACTCAGGACCTTTGGAAGAGCAGGCAATGCTCTTAACCTCTGAGCCATCTCTCCAGCCCCCTGTTTGCTTTTCTTTAATGCAGGTATAGTGGCACATGCCTGTCGTCCCACACTTTGGAGGTCGAGGCAGGAGGATCAGGAGTTCAAGAAGATTACCCTTAGCTGTATAATGAGCTGGTGGTCAGCCTGGGCTACTTAAGACCCTGTCTCTAATTAAGCTTCTTCCTTTCTCCTCCTGGGCCTGGGGATAGACTCCAGGGTCTGCCCACACACACTAGGCTGGCATCCACTCCTGAGCTACACATCCCCATCCTTTAAAAAAAAAAATCTTAAAGCTGCTGAGCTTCAGCAGTTTGACCCTGAAGTACCTAAAGATGGATTAGGGGACCAGGACTTTTAAAGGAGAGAATGGCAGTACCCATACACCTTTGGTCCCAGCCCGCAGGAGCAGAGGCAGGCAGAGCTCAGAGTTCAAGGCCTTGAAAAACAGAGAAACAAGATCTGAAAATTGGAAGGACTCTCTTAGTTTAGTGTCCCACGACCGTCTCCAAAGTCTGTGTTTTCCTCTAGCAGCTGCTAGAATTCCCTGGAGACAGAGGCCTTAACTCGATTTCTTTTGTGGTCAACTCTTTCCTTGCAGACCCTGCCATCACATTTCCTCCTCCTGGAAGCCTGCCCTGATTGCCTTTACTTCCTCTCCTGAAAACTGGCATCTCTGCAGAAGCTTAGGGGTGTGCTGCTGAGAGGGCACAGCCCCCTGTGATGCGGAACCCCACACTCAGGTTCATCAGTTCGGTGAGCTTACCTTTCCTTCCAGACGAGAGGGAGGGAGGGCGCTCCTGACTGGTGATGAGAATTCAGGATTTAGAAGACTTGGGTTGGGGTGCCTCCTTGGATGTATCTCTTTTCTATCTCAGGCTTTGGTCTCCGCCTCTGTTGTTAAAAGGTGAGAGTAGGGAGGACATGCCAGTTTGGAGGTGCTTCTTCTGAGCTGGTACAGGAGCACCGTCGAGGGGCTTCTGAGGTCTGTCTGGCCTCTGGGAACAAGGTAGACTCGTGGTGTCTGCTGTAGGCAGATGGTGAAGAAAGGTGGAGGAACCTCAGTCACTTGCTGTCCCTTCCAGCCTCACAGTGCAGGCACCCCGGGGTGAGGTCCTTATAAACGTGTATGGCTACGTTCATCTTGGGCTTTTGGGTGCTTCATTGACTGCCAAGAAAAACTTCCTGGCTTGTCAGTCACATAGTCAAAGGGACAGAAGGCTGCAGGGGCCTTGGAGGGTCTGGAGACCTGCTCCAGGAATTGTAGTGTCCCTAGGGGTAGCAAGACCCCAGGTAGAGGCTCCCCTCCAAGGGCAGAATGGGAAACAGCAGGCCCATTCCTGGGTGTCTCCCCAGGACACATTGGAACCACTTCCTCTGCTGCTGTGTAGTGGGTGGGAGTGCACTGCCAAGTGAGGCTGTGTCATTGGAGGGCATCACAAGAGGATCACGGCCGTGATGTGTCATGAACTGGGCCGGGAAAGCGTCCTGCTCAAGCAGGGGAGTGCGATGTGTCCTGCGTGGAAAGGACATGATGTAGTTCATCCGGCAGTCATTTGGGCCATCGGTATATGGCATGCTGTGTTTGGGCTTCTCTCAGGCCTCACTAGATTGTGTCTCTGCCGCCTCCCCTTCCACGTCCCTGTGATCTGAGGGCTCAGGGGGTTGCTTTGCAATGGACTTCCTTCCTCTGGGGCCCAGTGTGATTGATCCCTGTGCCTGTGGCTTCCCTGCAGAGAAGACTTAGAGACAGGTATTGTTGTTATCCCCCACCACCATCCCTCCTTGTTTTGAGACTGGGTCCAATATAACCAGGCTGGCTCTGAACTCTTTATTTAACCGAGGATGACCTTGAACTTCTGTCCCACTGTCTCTGTGGCCCAAGTGCTGAGATCACAGGTTTGCCAGCTAGCCGAGCACTCTGCTGGCTGAGTTATAGCCTCAGCCCCAAGAATCCCAGTTCTGAACCTTTCACTGCCTCAGACAGTCTCAGACTCAGCTCCCTTGACAAAAGGACTTTTTCAGAGTACCTAGTTTGACCCCTTTCATTTGACACAAAGATGAGAAAACCAAGACCCAGAAAAGAACACATGTTCGGATTCACGCCTCTGATGCCCAATCCTCCCAGGTTCTGTGCCCTGGTGCTTTAGGTCTGGCTCCTCCTACCTTCGTGGGGAGTGGCCTGCAGACTGGGGTCACTCCAGCCTTCATCAGCTCTTCGGGTGTGTGCTTGAAGGTGAGAGCATGGTTCTGTATGGTACAACGTCCTGGATGCCCGTCCGCTTGTCGGTCTGCTTATTATTCATGAGGAAACATGAACTCCCAGGTTGGCAGAGTCTGGAATTCTGTCCCTTCTCACCCCTCAAGTGTTCTGGAGGCTCACCAGGGAGCTCTGTGCTTTTCTAGCTATAGTCTAGTATTTCTGTCCCTTAAATGTTCGCACATCCTTGGGGAACTTGGGCCACAAAGGGTTTTCTCACAGAACCCAGAGATTCAGGGTGGTGCCTGCCCTGGAGGGTGGGCCCTCGTCTTTGGATGAGGTCTGCACTGAGGGGCAGGGGCTACTGAGCATGTAGGCCTCTTTGTAGGTGCAGGAGATTTGGGTTCGAATCCAGGCCTTGCCACTTCCTAGGAGAGTGGGGGCAAGGAGACCTCTGATTCTCTGAGACCCTGTTCGCAGCTGCCCTGAGGAGATAATGAGTCCCCTCTCAGAACTACTGTAGTGGGCAAATTAGACTCACGCTGTGGCAGATTCACAGCACCAGATAAGCCCTGTCCCGTCTCGTGCCAGAAGACTGACTGTTCAGACACCCCCAAACCCTCACAGACTGGCACAAGAACTGGAAACTAAGCAGAAGAGATCGTCACAGGCCACAGGGACTTTCCATTAGCTCGAAGGTTGATGGAGGATGAGAAATACAACCCCAGACTCTGCAACCCCACAGGGGGAAAGCAGTCCACAGCCCCAAAGAAGACAGAAGGAGGCCTTGACTCATCCTCTTCTATTCAGCCTTAGTTCACTGGCCTAGCAGGAGCCACACTGGCAGGGGGACAGGTAGCTGTGCCCAGAGATGTGGGAACTAACTGTCTTCCTTGGCAGGCAGAAAAAAGGCCACCCTCTTCCACCTTCATTTCCCCTCCCCACCTCTTCTACATCCTTTTGAAAAGTCAGGCTCCCTCAAACAAAATGTCCTGACCCCTGGGATGCACAGCCAGCCCAGGAAGAGACTGGATGCCAGTGTAGAACAAGGGTGGTCCAGAGAATGAAGGGCCGGGTTTTTAACTGTGTCTGAGCAGAGCCAGCTGAGTGGCCTGGTACCTAACAGCCAAGTCACAGAGCTTTGTGGCTGGAGACCCCAGTTCCGGGGCCGGAGCAATGGCTGAGTGGGTAAAGGACTTGCTGGGCAGACATGAGGGCCCCTGTCAGCGCCTTGTACAGCAAGAGACCCTGACATAGAAAACACAGAAGAGGATGATGGGTGAGGGTGACCCGGGGCACTGGCCTCTACACATGCAGACACCAAGAGACCCCAGCTCTGTGTAAGACAGGCCCGCAGATGCCTACCACCCCCTCCCGGCCATGTTCTCAGAGCCCTCTGTCCTCCTCTTCCCTGGCTCTTATCGTAACCACCATTAAATATTTAATGTTATAATTAGTTATTTACTGTCTGTCTCCCCTCTTGGACTGGAGGTCTTGGGAGGGCAGGACCAAGTGGACCTGGCTGGCTGCTGCTGCATCCCTGGCACTCAGTCCTAGCCTTGGAATTTTAGGAAATTAAACATTTGTTGAATGCAGTTAATGAGGACAGTAAATTTTTATACTTTGGAAAGGGATTTGGCAATATAACCCAAGAATTTCTTTAAAAAGCCCTAATATCAGGCAGGATGCTTTTGAATTTAATGGAGAACACTGATTCACACCGGCTTAAGCATAGAAAACATATTCTTTCTGAACTGAGTACCAGAGAAAAATGGGCTCCAGGTTTGGCCCTGTTCTCCGTGCTGTGTGCTGTGGTCCTCAGCAGCACTGGGTTGGGAGGTGACTTATTTGAGCCATGGTCAGATGCCTACTCCTGAACAAATAACTTGCTGACAAGAAAGCCCTTCACCTTAAGCTAATCAGAATGTGCTCAGAAACAAGATAGGGTAGCGCCTGGCCAAAACCATTGTCTGTCTCTGCCAGCCAGTGGGGATGGGGGCTGGGGGGCTGGGAAACTCCCAGCATTCTACACACACACACACACACACACACACACACACACACACACACACACACACACCACCTGCTAATCCATTGCTAAGGAGATCGGAACCAGTGCAGGAAGATGCTCATCTCACTGTTTGTTTGTTTTCTTTGAGACATGGTCTCTTGGAGCCCAATCTGGTGTGACCCTGAACTCCTGATCCTCCTGCCTCCACCTCCCAAGGACTGGAATCACAGGCGTGACCCATGTGCCTGCCTTCGGTGTTTATTTAAAAGAGAGAAGAGAGAAACTGGGATCAGATTCAGGAAGTAGCTGCATTGAAATATTTAAGTCAATTATGTGCCGTCTGTAATAGGGACGATTACAGTGGCATTGAAACATTTACACAAAGTGTTAATGACGTTGGGAAATGCTGTGATGTGATATTAGGTGAAAGATACCAGGATTTAAAATCATATTTACAATATGAGTCCAATTGTTTTTTAAAGAGCACAGAATGGAGCTGGGTTCAATACTGGCAGTGAGGCCTCTCTGAAGTATGGGGACTGTGATTGTTGACTGCACTCTAGGCTTTTCTGGGCCAGCCCCTTCTCTTCTGCCCTGCACAGACTTTTGTTCCTGCTCTTGTCATTTCCTGTGACAGCACCCTGCCTTGGGACTGTTCTCTGCGCTTTATACCCAGCCCCTTATTTAGTCCTTACAGCCGTCCTGGGAAGTAAAAGGACTTTGATGTTTTTGTTGTTGTTTTGCTAAGGTATTTATGGAAACTCCAACTTGTTTGGGCACAAAGTCACCCAGCTAGTGTATGGGAGCCTTTGGAGTCCCACCCCAGCCTGTCTGTGCTCCAAATGAGGCTGTCTGCTGCTTGCCCATAGCCAGACAGTAAAAGTCCCATTTTTCTTCTCTAGGGGTTTTGTTTGTTTTATTTGGTATATTAAATTTTAAAAATTACATTCATTTAGTGTGGAGGTGGTGCTCCTGTACCACAGTTTGTGTGGGGAGGTTAGAGGTCAACTTTGGGCAGTTGAGCTCCCTAGGACGATGTGACTTCCAAGGGTAGGACTGAGGTTAGGCTTGGCACCAGGCCCCTTACCCACAGAGCCAGGTCCTGGCCTTGGTTCTGATTGTTGCAGTGCTGGGAGTCGCGGGGGTGAGAGTCACACCCCAGGCCTCATACACACTGGACAGGTGACAGCGCTCCATTTATTGAGCCAGACTTGGAGATTGATTTGTTCATGTCACCCTTACCACCTAAGAGAGACCAAGCGAATGACCCAAAGTCACGCAGCTAGGAAGCGGTGGGGTGCAGGAGAGTCACGTGGATGTCATGTGGAATCCCTTTTTCTCCCACCCACCTTCAGAATTGCCTGAAGCCCTGCCGCCCTGGGGACCATGTTTAACGGGGAGCCTGGTCCAGCCTCAGCTGGGGCCTCCAGGAACGTGGTGCGGAGCTCCAGCATCAGCGGTGAGATCTGTGGATCCCAGCAAGCTGGGGGTGGGGCCGGGACCACCACGGCCAAGAAACGACGCAGCAGCCTGGGAGCCAAGATGGTGGCTATCGTCGGCCTGACCCAGTGGAGCAAAAGCACACTGCAGCTCCCCCAGCCTGGTGAGGAGTGTGGGCACCAAGAGGTGGGGAAGGTGGTGGGGAGGAGGGGAGCATGTTGTTGTTGAGTCCCCAGTGACTAAGAGTAGATGCACACTTTGTGGGTGCTTTATGAGTTGGTGTGTGTGATGTTCTATAGTCCTCAGTGGCCGGCACTAACAGCCCAGAGAGGGAAAGTCAGGTGCTTCAGACTGCACAGCAGAGGGTGGTGGAGTCTGGACTTCAGCCCCAGTTGTCCCTCCCAGTTCCTGTTCTTTGCATCTGCTGCCTCCACACACCGACTTCTGCATTTATCAGAAGTTATTTGAAACAGCCGTGCTCAGGGACCCCACACTTGTGTAGACACACACATCCTCACAATCCTGTTCTATTTCTTATTTCTCAGTCCCCGCAGGACAAATAGCCCCACAAATATAGTTGCGTAGTCTCACAGAGGTGTTGCAAAGTCACAAGAGAGGGGCACGAACACATGGCTCTTGCAGTGACGTGTCTAGAGTGTTCATTTGCCCAGGAAAGCCACTTCTAGTGCCAGGAAAGCATGGTCCAGTTATTCTCATTACACTGTCTGTGGTCACAAATAAACTCTAAATACGGTTCTCTGAACACAGACAAAAAGGCCCACATCACTTAGATGCACACGCACATCACAAAGCCACACATGCGCCTTAGCCGACACATGCGCCTATGTAGGGCATGCATTTTCAGACATCTGCCTACGGAATTCCAGTTAAGTTCAGACTTGGGGGGACCCACCTTGTCTCACACAGCGACATGTGGCCCCCACCTCATGGAGGAACCACTTCTCCCCACCCAGACTGCCATTTGTGGCATTGGTCCAGACACCAGCTGGCTTTGTTTTAAATCTCTTCCTGCTTATTTTGCTCAGAGTAACAACTTCCCCCAAAAACCTTCAAGTAGGCAGCTGGACGGGGGTGGGGAAGGGTAGAATGCCGGAGTATCAGGGAGGATGCTCATCAAGACGCCCCATTGGGGCTGGTATTTGGGGGTGCTTTTCCAGACCTTAAAATAGATTTTTACAAAGCTGTCTACAGGAACACGGGTGATGGTCTTTTCCAGCGCTCCAGCTCCGTGTGCTTTCTGCTCAGGGAGAGACTAGACAGGGAGGGTCTTGAGGTTATTAGTACCTTTGGGTGGGCAGTATAGGCTTGAGAGTAGGAAGCAGGGCGGTGGGAAGTTGGACTGGGAGAAGGAGGGCTGGGATAAAATCAACCTGGGGAATTAAGATTACGAAGTCCTGGACATGTTGAACCCCAGAGGTCTGTGTCTGGTATTGTAAGCACAGGAATCCAGCTCCAGACAGACCCCACAGACATCTCCCATGCAAAGTGACAGGAAGAGACAGTCTCCAAGGCCAAGGCAGGGCCTAATTCACTGGGAGTCATTGGAGGGGTCTGCTGTGGCTTCAGACAGCAGCCGGCTGGGGTGGGAGCAGATGCCAGGATGACCTGCTGCCTTCTGGAGAGACAAATGATGCTGGGCCCTCTGGATGCCTTGTCTTGGTGGGAAGTAAGGACATGACTAAAGGCCCAAGGTCTGGGGCTAGGGGAATTGCCCAGATGCCTTTCCAAGTGCAGGTCCCTGTGAATCATCTAATCACTGAATGTCATAGCAGGAAGGGCCCTCGAGGTCATTCAGTCTGATGTACTCATTTATCTATGAGACTTCCAGAGCCCAAGGAGAAGGCCCTTCCCTGGAGAATGACCTCAGGCTGGCCTTTGCAGCCACACCCCATCATTTACTAGCCAGATAGTTCAGGCAAGGTGCTTCACTTCTCTGATTCTGCTGTTTGTTTGTTGAAGACAAAATAGATGCTTTATAGAGCTATCCAGGGATTAAATAAGATAGATGTGCAAAGGTATCCAGCCTCTCATGCATGATACATGGGAGGTACTCAGCAAAGCATCGATACTTTTTTAAAAGGTTTATTTTTTTATTATTTTTAATGGTATGTGTGTGTGCATGCATTCATGTGTGCATGTATGCCTGTGTGTGTGCATACACAAGCATATATGTTCATACATTCATGCATGTACACATGCAAGCTTTGAGTATGCCAGTGCCTCAGCTTGGAGCATCATCCTGGCCGGGAGACTCTGAGACTACAGGCCAGTATGTGGTCACCTCACCAGGGATTGCTGCTCTGAGAAGAGATCTCAGAAGGGTGCCCCTGTTGCCCCAAGTGGAACAGCTTGATTCCCTGTAGGGCTGGGCTATGGGGAGTCAGGAAGAATTCCCCTCCTGGGCCTAGCCCTTGGGGCTCTTGACCTTCTCTTGCAAGAACCCCACTCCCCCAGTTCATCGATACCCTTATCCTCTTTGTTCCTTTGCCCCAGTTCACATAGTCTGGTCCCTCTAGGCCCCTGCCTGTCTGCCTGCTTCTTGTTTGTCATTATGCCGCCCTGTTGCAGGTCTCCAGAATCCCACCCTGTGCTTTAGAGGGCTAGTTCTGGCTTTAGAGCTGTCCATCGGACCGTTGTAAAATCACTTTCCAGTCGGGCCTCAGTTTCCTCTTCTGTAAAATGGAGCTAATAATGCACTCTCCCAACTTCCTTTGGGATCTACCAGTTCTCTAAATTGTAGGATCAATGAAGGGTGGGGTCAGAGTTTTAGGGTCCTAGGACCTAAGTAAAATCAGGTCTGGCATTAGTTAGACTGAGCCCACAGGGAGTCATGCCTGGTGGAAGCAGCCTCTTTCTAAATGTCCAGTACCAAGGACAGAGATCTTCCTGCCTGAGCCTAAGATGTTGCCACAAGCCAAACTGCCCCTCTTCTGCACGTGATGGGACAGATAAAATGGCTCCTGGAATCCTTCTCCAAGGAACACTGAATTATTGCAACCACTTGGACCTGTTCTAGAGAGAAACCATAAAGTATTCCTTGGGTCAGCAGGAACCAAGCCAGTGGGAGGATTTTTCTCTTGAGTTTGCAAGACCTTTCCCCCTACCCCTGAAGACAGGGGAGTTTAATCTCTGCTGAGTCACAGCTCCAAGAGAGGAAGCATTGAGGAGGGAAAGTGATAAGTCAGCAGGCAAGGAGTCTGAGGGCCTGGTGGCACCAGAACCCCGGACTCCTCATCTGTGAAAGGGAGAGGAGCCTGGACAAGTATCTCTGACCTTTCAGGATTCTGCGCAGTTCCCACTCACAGGCGCTCACACTGCATTGGGCAAGTCTTATCTAAGAAGGTAATTTCACTTCCAAATGGGCCAGAGCTTTCCCAGGCTCTAAAAGAGCGTGTGTTGAGGGGGTGAAGATGTGAGGGGGAGGCAGAGTGACTTTCAGCCCCCCCTTCCACACAGCCATCTGTCTTCTAACTGGGTTAGAGGGGATGAGGCAATTAGGAGCCAGGGACGGAGAGAGTCCCATGGTAGGTCACATGCCATGTGTGGGTGGACATCATTATGTGTGGTGAGTATAGATGGGCTCTGTTCTAGGTATTAAAGATCACCTATATATAACTTGTTTGACGGTGTACATTATGTCCGTGTAAGATCTGGAGGGCCTGTGTAACTTTGTATAAACAGACATATGATATCATACATGAGATTATTGTATTTATGTACGTGATAATAAGCATTCCTGTGTGTCTGTTTTACGCATATGTAAGAGAAATATGCCTGAGCTAATATGACTGTGTGTGTGTGTGTGTGTGTGTGTGTGTCACAGTAGCTTGCATTGCGTTTAGAGAACACATCTTCCTACACGTTGCCCCTGGTCTCATCATCCCCCCTCCACCACCCTATCTGCTGGTATTTGCCCTCCTGACCTTCTCTCATCCAGTGGGGACTTCCTGAAGGGTAAGTAGGGCAAGACAGGAAGAATACAGGCCTATCTTTCCCAACCTGTGGACTTGAACCTACTCTCGCCAGCCCTCTATCGGTTGCCTTCAGGGATAAATGTGCCGCCACCCTGCCCTAGGCACCCTTGCAGGCCACTCAGCTGACAATTTTCCTGGGCCTCTAACTGGTGGCAGCAAATGGCTCCTTTGGTACAGTCTCTGAGTGCCACTTCCCTCCCCGTCAAGTTGCTCAGCAATCAAGCTTTAACAGGGGAGTCCCTGCAAAACCCCAGCCTGTCTCCCCCCCACCCCCGCCCAGGAGGAGAGCTGTCTAGAGGGACCACACTGCAATGCTAAGGAGGTTGCCATGGAAACCCAGGCAGGCTGGTGTGCTACTCAGAGAGGGAAAGTGCCCTGTGTTTCCTGCCAGGCTGAGGAGGGGGCTGGGGCCCCTGAATAGAAGGTGCAGAGACAGGGTAAAGGGTTCTGCTGTGGACTTTCTCAAATCCAGTATCAGCCCAGGTCAAGCTAGCCACCCCGCCCCTCCTGGAGTCTTGCCTTGCTAGGTCCAACTTGACATTTGTGATGCTCTCCTTTTTAGACTTACCTTCAGAAGGCAAGTTTCAAATGGTCAGGCTTCCGATGGGGTTTTTCTAGGGCAGTAGAGAGGCAGTCTTTGAGTCTGGTAGGATATCCAAAAGAGGGAAAGTAAATCTGGAAATCCCAGAACAGACAAACTTTCCAGAAATGAGAGAAAGGAACTCAGACTGAAACAGAATGGAAAGGCAGAGTTAAGAGAACATAGTGGAGGGCTGGAGAGATGGCTCAGTGGTTAAGAGCATTGCCTGCTCTTCCAAAGGTCCTGAGTTCAATTCCCGGCAACCACATGGTGGCTCACAACCATCTGTAATGAGGTCTGGTGCCCTCTTCTGGCCTTCAGGCACACACACAGACAGAATATAGTATACATAATAAATAAATTAAAAAAAAAAAAGAGAACATAGTGGAGAGGGAGGGCCCCAAGGTCGCAGGACTTGTAGCTGGCTGCATTCTATTGGGGCACATAGCATGTCACTGGGCAGCTTTCTCTGTACCATGACCCTGGGCTTGACCCGTCCTAGGGTCAGCTCAATGGTGTCCCAGCCTTGGCAGGTTCCCCCACCCGCTTCTGCCCAGAGGATCACTTTGGTAGCACTCTTCGAGAAGCCTAGGCCATATTTTGACCTTGTTTCCTCTCTCTCCTCGGATCGGGAACCCCAGAAGGGGCCACTAAGAAGCTTCGCAGCAACATCCGGCGGAGCACGGAAACCGGCGTTGCGGTGGAGATGCGGAGCCGCGTCACACGCCAGGGCAGTCGGGAGTCTACGGACGGGAGCACCAACAGCAACAGCTCCGAGGGCACGTGCGTGCACCTGCCAACTTGGTTTCCAGCCAAGATGTCTGCATACCTCCCTGTCCCAGCCTCCCTTTTCCCTCTCCTAGATATCTGCTCCCTGGGTCCCAGTCTTCCCATGGCTCCCAGCGGAACACCTTAGAGGAGCACATCATTTGTTCTTTTGTTTAGAAAGGGACGCGGGCTTCCTGCCTCCCGTCACCTGCCCTGCTCCAGAGGAGATGAGCAGAAAGGAAAATGTGACCCTAAATTCCTTTTAAGCCTAAGCTCATTTTCATGGCTTAGTTGTGTGAAGTCTCTATGAATCACCTTGCTTGGAGATTAAGGAAGAAAATTGGACTCGATCCGTGTGTTTAGAACTGTCACATCTTACCTCGTGACTCCTAGGCAGGAAGGAGAATCGCTGTAGTGGGTCAAAAGCAGTGTTAGAGAAAGAAATAGAAAACGCAGGGGCACCTGTGTGGCAGGGGTGCCTGTGTGGCAGGGGTACCTGTGTGGCAGGGGAGCCTGTGTGGCAGGGGCGGGGCACCTGTGTGGCAGGGGAACCTGTGTGGCAGGGGTGCCTGTGTGGCAGGGGAGCCTGTGTGGCAGGGGCGGGGCACCTGTGTGGCAGGGGAGGCAGGCCGGGAGACCTTAGTTGAGCCCTTCATCCAGGATGCACGTAGGTCAGCAGTGCGCTGCGGTGTTGACAGGCCCCTTTCTTTCTGCATGTGAGCTGGAGTAAGTGTTTCAAAGTCACCGCTTACACTGCAGCTCTGTTCAAAATCAGAGTTTGTAGATTTTCTGCTTCTGTTTCATCAAGGCCCTATTATTTTCAGTCTCGAGATCCTGTGGCTTATTTAATATTGAGTTATTGTCTTTCACCACTGTACAGTGAGCCCTTGGCATCCCTGTGGGATTGGTTCCAAGACCTTGCATGGATCTAAAACCCACAGCTTCTTGAATCCTTTAAATACACTAGCATAGTGTTTGCACAGTACCTGGACACATCTTTCTGTGTACAGCACGTCCTCTCTCCATCACTTGTAACACCCAGTCAAAGCTGAGTGCAGAAGAGACTCATTACACGGGTCTCTCTGTAAAGCTCAGGCTGGCGTTGAATTCAGAATTCTTCTGCCTCAGCCTCCTGAGCACTGGCATTATAGGTGTACACCCCAATTCCCAACCTAGATGGTATTGTTTAAAGAATAGTGATAAAAAAATCTGTTTGTGCCCAGTACAAACAACATTTTTCTTCGTACTTTCAATCTGTGGTTGATTGAATCCACAGATGCAAAAGCCATAGACACAAACGACCAACTGTGTCTTCTAACATGGAAACAAGTAGCCATTAGCATTCACTACCTCCTACCTTGTCCACAGCATTGACGGTACCTCAGGCTAGTGACTTCCTGTCTGGAAGCCATGTGCTATGATTTAACACTTGTATCCACCCTGAGGGAGTGTGGACAGCACCAATGTCTCCTTATACAAGTGAGGAAACTGGGACTCCTGAACGGCAGAGGCTCTTTACCCACAGGCACACATTTTAGGCCACAAGCCATTGTCTACACCAACGTCACTTGGTTCCATACCATTTATTCATAATCTCTGTATTGTGCACTAGTCACCCCCACCCCTGCCCCACTCCTGAGACTTTGAGTCTGCATCTCTCCATTTCTTCTGAGGCTCACTGTCCTAAGAATGTGACGTGAGAACTGGGTGTGGTGGGGCACACCTGTAAACTCAGCACTTGAGAGGTGGAGGCAGGACCAGGAGTTTAAGATCAGAGACTTTAACTACATAGGGAGTTCCAAACCAGCCTGGACTACAAGAGGCATTATGTCAGTAAAAGGGGTGGTGGAGAGAGCAAGAAGAAGACCAAAACATGAGAGGGCTGGGGAGACGGCTCAGTCAGTAACATGCTTGCTGTACAAGCGTGAGAAACTGAGTGGACTAGAGATCTCCAGCACCCACGTAAAAAGGCTGGGTGTAATTGTGCACGTGCCTATAATCCCATTATTGAGGAGACAGACGGGATCCCTAGGGCTTGCTAGTGGGCCAGTCTTTCCAAATCTACAGACTCTAGGTTCAGTGAACGATTATCTAAACAATTAAGGTAGAAAGTGATTGAGGAAGACACCAATGATGACCTCTGGCTCTTGAACGAACACACACACACACACACACACACACACAGAGAGAGAGAGAGAGAGAGAGAGAGAGAGAGAGAGAGAGAGAGAGAGGGAGAGAGAGCAAGAGCGAGAGAGTGCATGCACATATATGCCCACCTTAATCCACAAAAAGAATGACACTAGGCTGTTGTTGATCATGGTTAATAGAAGATGCCTTGAAGTCACTTCCTGAAGGTGAAAGATGAGCCTTGTAAGAGAAACGCAAACGCAGGTTCTGTCCCATAAACCCATTGCTCCCTGCCCGTCACTGACCACTGGAGTCCCTATTCCAAACTGTCCAACAGGTGTTCGTCTCTGACCCACCTTTTATGGCAGCCACTAAGAGAGCTGCATATTCTAGTTCATTGTGGCCCCTGAGCAAGCTGTCCCTGTTGGCTGTACCCAGAACATCTGGGCCTGAGGACATGAAGGCAGCGGCAGAGGCAGAAGCAAAATTCATTGCCATTTGTTGTATCTCATGTTTCTAGAACTTTTCCTTCACACCATCCCCCAGCGAGCCAGGTATCATCCCTGTTGCAGACAAGCCTAGTCTCTTACCTCTTGGAAATGCCTTGTTTCATCTGTAAAATTAGATACTGGATCCTACCACACAGTCTGGTTGTAAGGATTAGTGATACAAGGCACGCGGACTGTTCAATGCGCTGCTGGCAGCTGGCCCACTGTCGGTCACTGTCGGTTTTTCTTGTTACTGTTTCCAGCCCCTCCCCTCCAGTCACGGACCACCCACAATCACCTGCCATTCATCACAACCCCATCGTTAGGTTATTTTGGTCCCTGCTGCTGTTTTGAGAACCACCTCACCTTGTTGACTTGAATTTTAAATTTCTGGTTTAAAAAAAAAAAATCAAACCTCAGTTCTTGGAACTCATTCCAGGCTGTAAGAGTCCACCCAGCTTGTCTCTCATTGCTGGCCGTGGCATGCTTTCATGGGGATGCCTGTGCCCAGCAAGCCCTGCCCTTGAACGCTCACTTCGGAAATCTCTGGGGCTTGGGCTGGGATGTAGCTCAGTTGGTAGTATGTTTGTCCAGCATACATGAAGCTCCCGGGTCCGTCCCTAGCACTGTATAAGCTGAGCATGCTGGTACATGCCTGCGATCCCAGATGGCAGAGCTGTCATGATCAGGAATTCAGGGTCAACCTTGGCTACATCATGAGTCTGGGGCCAGCTTGGGATGTACAGGACCTTGTTTCAAAAAATAAGAATTCAGTGTCTTAAATATCTTCATTAGTCGTTCTCTCTCTCTCTCTCTCTCTCTCTCTCTCTCTCTTGTTGTTGTGATTTTTCGAGACACAGTTTCTTTGTAGCTTTGGAGCCTGTCCTGAAACTCGCTCTTGTAGACCAGGCTGGCCTCAAACTCACAGAGATCCATCTGCCTGCCTTTGCCTCCTAAGTGCTGGGATTAAAGGTGTGCGCCACCACCACCTGGCTTCTTCATTAGTCTCTTTAATGATATCAAAATATCTTTCTCCAAGCCAGACACTGTGGTACCTGTTTATTACCCACTTGGGAGACTGAGGCAGGATGGTCATGACTCTGAGGCTAGCTTTGGCTACGTAGTGAAGTCTAGGTCAGCCAGAAGTACACAGTGGGACTGTCTAAATCATGAAGCCTGAAATATCTCCAATGTGCAGCAATGAATAAGTGTTCACTCCCAGTTAGAGTGATGTAGTCACACTGTCTAGGTGAGAAAGGGAGGCACAGCTCCCCACATGCAGGGCCCCTGCATCCGTCCTCGCTGCTCGCCCCCCTACTGCCCTCACGTGCCCTCTGCTTTCTTCTGCAGGTTTATTTTTCCCACACGGCTTGGAGCTGAAAGCCAGTTCAGTGATTTTCTGGATGGCCTGGGACCGGCCCAGATTGTGGGGCGACAAACGTTGGCAACACCTCCCATGGGTAAGTCTTGTGGAGGAAGGACTAGCAGGGGGGGCCAGCAGAAGGAGCTCAGTGGGGCCCTGTGTGTGGTAGGGCAGGCAACAGGAGGGACCAGAGCCCCAGCCTTCCTCTCCTCGCTACTCAGTAGCTTTTCCAGATGTGTGTGTGGTCCGCGCCCCCCCCCCCCCCCCGCGCGCAGTCACCCTCCCCTGCTGTGTAAAGGAGTCACAGTGTTGGCTCCTGCTGACCTTCTCTGACTGGGGGCAAATAAGCCACTTCCCTTCTCTACCCCTCGATTTCCTCGTGGGGAGATGGTGTCAGTAATCCCGCTTCAGTCCTCCAGTCTCTCAGCCTTCCTGAGTTCCCGCTAGGTGTTTTCTGTAAAGCGTTTTAGTGTTCTCCTTAGGAACTGTGGCTAATTGGACCTGCTACTCCCAACAGCCTCTGGCACCAGGGGACCTTTAGCCATTTTCTCATCGCTTCCTGGCAGCTAGGAAGTGCTTCTCAAAGCCCACATCGGGTCCTCTTAGCAGGCCTCCCCGTCAGTCTGACCTGAACTGTGCCTGATCCGAATGTCTTATCTCAGCCCCGTTCTGATGGTTCTTGACTTTTTGGCCCTCACGGCAGAAGAGGGGAATGAGTGCAGTGGAGCTGGGATTCTGTGATGGTTTAGAACTCTGTTTATGGCTCTGTCCTCCTTTCCTTGGGAGAGGGATCCACAAGACCCTCAGAGTTAAGGTCCACTCTCTTCTGGCCCTGGGTATTGGATTTGTTTAATTCTAAGATTTTGGTTGGTACTGGAGCTTGCTCATTATTCCAACCCCTTATCCCTATAAACACTGAGAAGTGCCAGCCATTTCCATATCTTCAGTGACCCCTCAGAA